GTTCAGGACCAGGCAACATTCTGTCTTACTGTATATAAGGTCGCCATGAGTGGGAGCTGATTTGATGCTAGCTAATAACAACAACAGTGCCCCACTTAACATGGATACTCTGCCCCAGAAAGGAGGGATGTCAGAAGAGAGAGGCAAGGAACTGCACAGAGTAACCACACCACGGGACCAGGCTCATGGGCCCTGAGCCAGGGTTCCTGCAGTGCCCCAGCCAAACACATCGATACCCTCATCGGTATGGGAGACTACGTACTACCGTCTATCCCCTGTAGTTCCAGCAGCCATCCTGCCCCCAAGAAGTGCTCTAATGGCACTGACCACCATATAAACACTGTAGGATATCTTATTCCCTTCTGGTGAATCGTGAGACTGTTTAACCCCAAGATTCTAGCCCAGATTCTTCTCATAAATGGACATGTCATAACTTTATACCCATGTTTGTCCAGAAAAAGAGTTTATGTTCTAAGTTCTTCAAGTACATCTCTCAGGGCCTCAATTTGATATCAAAGAAAAACAGTCAAATACCAAATACCAAAAAACAACTTCAAGTGTACTTCTGCTAGGAATTCCCACTTGGCAGAAGGCTTCTCCATACCAACTGTTTTGAAAATGCATCATTGCTTCAGAAAGGCTGTGAGAAGAAAAGAGTTACTCATCCCCCTAAAAGTCAGCAACAGCAGCCGGGGAACAAGTTAACGTGAAAAGAAAGAAATCTTGCATTTCCTTAGCATGGTTTGTGGCTAGCAAACATTAAACTGAACCAGACAAACCATACTCTGCGGGGTGGATTTTATAGGAACACTCTAGATCTTTCATCCTTTTTCTTCAGTGTCCAACTTTTCAAGCAGGAGAGCTGGGCTGACCAAGGGGACACACTGAGCCCGGCTCCACATGCCGTACAAGCATTTGCTGACTCGCTTACAATTGTTTCACACTATTTAAAACATTCCTTCCAAGTGCTTTTCAGTTTATCGTCGCCCCATCTATTGTATTTTCATATAACAGCAACATATATTCAACGTAATAAGTTGAAATATACAGAAAACAGCAAAAAAATTACTCATAATCTCAAGTGCTCAATGTTAATAAGATTTTGGTGTCCATTTTTCTAGGCTTTTTCTATAAAAAATGGAATTTACTTCTCAATATATCATTTCACATATTTTGCTTGCATATTATACTTTTATTTTATGAAATTTGTTTCAAATGATTAAACAGTTCTTGTAAATTGGAGAAGCTTAAAGATCATATCAAAACAATGTGATCACAAGAAAAAGATGACTTAAAATGAAGGGTTTTTTTTTGGCATGAGATTGTTTAGCTGTCGTGGAGTTGGTTCTCAATTCGTGGCGACCCCATGCACAACGTAACAAAATGCTGCCAGGTCCTTTGCCATTCCCATGATCAGCTGCAGACTGGGCTGGACCACTGAGATCCATATAGTTTTGATTGGCTGGTTTTTGGAAGTAGATCGCCAGGTCTTTCTTCCTAGTCCATCTTAGACTCTGGAAGCTCTGCTGAAATCTATTCAGCATCGTAGCAACATGCAAGCTTCCACTGACACATGGGTGCTTGCTGTGCATGAGGTGCACTGGCTGGGAATCGAACCTAGGTCTCCTGCATGGAAGGCGAGAAATCTGCCACTGAACCACCACAGCTCCAAAGATTCAGGGTAAAAGTAAATATACCAAACCAAAACCACCTGCCATCAAGTCAATTCTGACTCATGGAGACTGCATGTGTGTCAGAGCAGAGCTGTGCTCCATAGGATTTTCAAGGCTGTGATCTTTCAGAAGCAGATTGCCAGGCCTTTTTTTTTTTT